ATAAAGCACCACTGACAGGGATGCAGTAAGTCACTCTATGGACCTGCACATTTATTACTACTGTTATACTTCATGATCAAGATGTGGTCTAAGTACAGGGCCCTGTCTTTCATGGACTGAGCCCTACAAGAATATGTAGTAGAAGATGCTTAAGATTGATTTAAGGTTATAAAAGTGTATATTATACATTAGACAACTTAATCATATTACAGCAGCCACCTAGGAGCACCAGCTCAGGTCAGGGATCCATTGTGCTACATACGGTATTAACACATAGTAATGGACTGCTCCTGCCTCACAAAATCTTATAAGCTAAATTAGAGAAGACAGAATGAGAGGGGAGACAGAGGGTATGTCTACACTACAAAGTTAGGTTGATTTTATAGAAGTCGATTTTTTAGAATTTGATTTTATACGGTCTATTGCATATGTCCACACTAAGCGCATTAAGTCGGCGGAGTGTGTCCTCACTACCACGGCTAGCATCGACATACAGAGCGGTGCACTGTGGGTAGCTATCCCACTGTTCTCGCAGTCTCCACTGTCCATTGGAATTCTGGGTTAAGCTCCCAATGCCTGATTGGGCAAAAACTTTGTCGCGAGTGGTTTTGGGTACACATTGTCAGGCCTCCCCTCTCTCCCTCCTTCCGTGAAAGCAACGGCAGACAATCGTTTCGTGCCTTTTTTCCGGGGTCCTGTCTGCCGGACCCGCTCAGCCTGCTGCCTGCCTGGATGATCGGAACCCCAGGCAGGCAGCGGGCTGAGCGGGGCCGACGGACGGAGCCCCAGACTGGCAGCCCGCTGAGCAGCTCAGCCCACTGCCGGTCTGGGGCTCCGTCTGCCGGCTTCTGCTAGCCAGGGTCCCGCTCAGTTGGCAGACCTCGGTGAGGTCGATCAGGAGTGCCTGGACAGACATGGCTATCCTCCTTTTAGAGCACCGAATAGGAGTGACTCCAGGTCATTCTCTTCTTTAAGTTTCATCTCATGGAGGTTCGTCCTGCCTGGAATATCATGCGAGCGGAGGCTTCTGCCTCAGGATGCTCTCCCAGCCGGCATTACCACGCGGTCGCACCTACCCCAGCCTGCCCCTTGCTCCCATGGCTCATGAAGTCTGGACAGTAGTAAGGAGCATTTCAACTTGTGGAATGACAAAGCCAGAATGAAGGATTGCACTCTATGGGCCACCTTAAGTTTATTTCAGAGTCCTAGATAGCATTTAGTCCTTATAAAAGGCTTCATGAAAATTTCCCCCCGCCCAAACAAAAATGTTAATTTATCAGAGTAGCTGAAAGGGTAAGGAACCCAGGACTATAACTTAGAGAGAGCTTCCATATTATTTAACTTATAATTGATATAATTCAAAGTAAAATTTCACAGCGTGGTCTGTTCTAAAACTAAAAATGCAGGAGGGGAGTCAGAAAAAGGAACAGTGACCTGTTTCCACCTGGTTTCAAACCAGGGACGTTTCACGTGTTAGGTGAACGTGATCACCACTACACTAAGGGGCTTTTGCGTGTTAGGTGAACGTGATAACCACTACACTATGGGGCTTCTCTTTTTTTGCCACAGACTTTGCCAAAAGCACCGGAATGTTTTCTCTAGCTACAGAAGCTACCTAATGCAATGTCTATATCTATGGCCTTCCTGCTCACAAAGTGGTCATGCCCCCGCCCAAGGCTGACACAGCACGGAGTGCATGTGACACAGCGACCTGGCTCGGGCAGGATCGCTAACAAGGCATGATACTTTTGCTGTTAAGCAAACACAGCAATTCTTTCCTGGCCTCTGCCACTGAATGCCTCCATGCATTAGGCTGTGCCCTATCAGTGCGGGAGGACTGCATGAGCTCGGAAAACATGTCATCACGAGTGCATTTTTTTCGCCTTCTAATCTGCGATAACCTCAGGGACGGAGATGATAGGGGGAGCGTAGAAACATTCTGGGGGGACTGTATGGTCATCTGTGCTGCTGAGTTCGCCACACTGGCCAAATAGGAAATGAAATTCAAAAGTTCCCTGGGCTTTTCCTGCGTACCTGGCTAGTGCATCTGAGTTCAAAGGGCTGTCCAGAGCAGTCACAATGGAGCACTCTGGGGTAGCTCCTGGAGGCCAATACCGTCGAATTGCATCCAAACTACCCCAAATTCGATCTGGCGATGTCGATTTCAGCGCTAATCCCCTCATCGGGGAGGAGTACAGAAATCGATTTTAAGAGCCCTTTAAGTCGACAAAAATGGTTTCGTCATGTGGACGGATGCAGGGTTAAATCAATCTAATGCTGCTAAATTCGACCTAAACTCGTAGTGTAGACCGGGGCAGAGAGAGGTAGAGAGACTTGCTCAAGCCTAAACAGCAAGTCAGTGACAGAGTCAGAGATATAACCCATGTCTCCTGGGACCTAATCTAATGCCTCACCCACTGGGTCAGAAAAGCTCTGTACTGTAATGCATAATCGCAAGTAGTAGTAGTTAACGTTGCTTATGCAACTTTGGATTTGGTATTGCATTAACACTTTTACATTTAAATTTCCTGTTTTCTTTTTAAAAAAAGGAGAAAAAAAAGAAAAAGAAAAGAGCAAGTTTTGATCCTCAGCTCCTTGGAGCTCTAACTTGCAAAAAAGTTACAATTATTCGGCTTTTTACTTTGTAACTAGAACCATTCAGCTGCCATAGAAAACAATTATCTCTGATTAAGGACACCCAAATCCAGGTGCCCTCGCTGGAGGAGGATCAATTTTCACCCTGCTCTGGGTTACTAGAAACATTTGATAAGTGAATCCAAGCTAGATAGAAGTACTTCACATAGACTCCAGTTTTAATGGATTTTGCATTTCCTATACATTTTGTAGCACATCCCGTTAGATATGGAGTTAATGATACAAAAACTTCAGATTTTAAAATACTAATGTCATAAAATGAAAATTAATTACCTATGCCCTCCATTGCATCTATGAAGACTATTTCCATGCCAAAATTGTTGCTTTCAAATTTCAGCAGTTTCATCTGAACATGCTCTGTTCAGGTCATAATTAGTAAAGTTTATGGCAGGCAGGAGATTAATTGCATTCATTTGTACAGAGGAATAGAACTCAGGACCTTCTGTCACCCACTCATGTGTGCACAAGGACATTCTGATGGGGAAAAAGCAACAGAACCAAGAACCTTATCAGATTCTAAGCGTCTCAAAATATGTAGAAAGTTACTCAACTCAGTCTACAGTGATTCTGCAGACTAGCCACTCCATTGTGCAGCTAAATTAGCTGAGCATTAGTCCCTAGCTCTAAAAATCCCTCCCACACATATTGAAAACAAACTTCCTCTGGTGTAAGGCTAGGCACTGATCTAGGATTCATAGCATTTTCCAAGTCAAATTGCAGCTTTCAATTCTCCAGTGATTTCTGTTCCATAGCTTTTCAAAAAAAGTTAGCAGTGTATGTATATATATATATATATAAATATATATATATATAAATATATATATATATAAATATATATATATATATATAAATAAATAAATAAATAAATAAATAAAACACACACACACACACATTTTTATTCCCACTCAAAACCCAACATTCAAAAACAGCTGAACCATTTTTCCCCCTTCACACTTTCCAATAAAATTCACCTTGGTGCAGAGCTGAAAGGAGGGAATGTTTAATGCCAAAAAGGTGAAGGATTGCAAAGTTTTGACAGTCTGAAATATGAGTTTACTAAGCAAACATTTTCAATCTTAACTATAGCAGTTACCAAAGCTATATTACTATTTTATGTGCATAGAGGTACTTATTCCTGGATGAAAAACTGTGTTCTATTAGACAGAACCCATTTGACAATGCCACTCCTTTTAGAAGGGGAATATACATTCCAATCTCAAAGGCTACATGTAGATGACAGAAGCTGCAGCAGCTGGAGTACCCATAAGCCATGCAGAACAGCTCCAACAGAGTCCTAAACAGATGCACAAGAGTCACTTCCCTCCATTCCCCCAGTTCTGGTGCCTATGCTCTTATGTTGCATCTTTTCTTCTTAACCAGCTGTGGCTGGGGGGCAGAACATTGTGACTGATGTTAAGCTTATTTAACCTTTTGTAGAATCTTTAATTCTGATGAAAAGCCACCCACGTGAAAGGGAAATATTTTTGTAACATGAATGCCTAATTTTGCTGGTACTAGTAGTTGTATTTTTAAATGTCATAGGATCTTAACCTCCTTAGTTTTTGAAGCTCACTTCTCTTTTCTTCCTTTTAAAAGTAAGTTCTCTTTTCACATTTTTTAGCATTAGGAACTATTTTTGATAATTGGTGAGTGCTAAAATTACCAACTACTTTCAGGTTTTCAGACCAGTTCTGCTCAAAGAGCAATTACCAAAGGTAACATAATCCATATAATTCCTTCCTTCACTCATGGTGACAAGTTGGAACCTAGATGAATTTTCTGCACTATTACTCATGTATTTACTTGAGAGACAATTTAACACCCTTTCTGTATTAAGAGCCAGTCATATCCTTTAAAAATATTTAATTAATTTAACTTCCCATCATCTGTCACCCAAACTGTTTTTGTTCCTCTAATAAGACATGCAATTCTTACTTATGCCACATATTTATTGTAAAGATGTATGTGTATACTTTTATTTTGCATCCTTTCAGCCACTATTTAACCTTTCCCTCCCTTCTTTATGGTACACTACTACATCCATTTTCTATACTGGACTTTATGCTGTTCCCCTTCCTTCAGAGATATACACGTCTATCTAAGGTACTTTATGTTATGTGCCTCACAACCTCCAATGCAGTTATCCTCCCAACTGCCCGCCAAGGTAGGAGATAATGTTACCTTCATTTTTCCAGATGAAGGTAATGGAGGCAGAGAGAGACTAGGAGTAAAATTTTCAAATGCACACTAGACACCCACGGCTGGCCCGTGCCAGTCGACTCAGGTTTGTGGGGCTCCTGCTGCAGGGCTCTTTCATGGCTGTGTAGACTTCCGGACTCGGGCTGGAGCCCAGGCCCTGCCAACCATGGGTTTTTCTTTGCTGTGTAGACATACCCTGTGTGCCCCATTTGCAGAAATGACTTAGGCACTCCGGATCCTAAGCCTCATTGAAATTCAGTGGAACTTAGGAGGTGCTTTTGAAAATCTTACCTTATGTGATTTACCCAAGGATACATAGAAGTCAGTGGTAGAGCAAGGAATTTGATCAGGGCCTCCTAAATCCCAGGCTAGAACAGCAGAACAGAGTGCTTAAGCCCATAAATACTCAGAAGGCTTCCCAGAAAAGACTTGATACAAATTGTATTTATAGAGGAAAAGGAGGATATTGGCAGAAGAGGAAACAAAATGTTTGTTGCTGACCCTTTTTGAATCTCTATTCACTCTAAATTCCATTCAAGGTTTTTGAAATTTTAAAATTTTATTAATTTTCTAAGGAAAACTTGTTTTGTTGAAGGTCCAGAAAAACCTGAATAACTGCATTCACAATTTCCTACAAAGTAATATTATCATACATTATCTTTGTATATTGACATAAGATCAGAGATGTGCATGGAATGTCAATTTTCACTGTAATGCTTGTAAATTCAGTAGTTTCGTCACAGATTCCTTGTACTGCAAAATGTTGTTTTCTGTTTCCCCTTCATTTTTAAGTACAACTACAGCGGTTTTGTAATTCTCAACTATCTCAGAGGCAAGCAGCTCTTCCCTAGTTACTTCAGTGGTTTTCTCTGCAGCTCTTATTCGAAGAAGCGTGTCCAAAGCATTCTTCTGAGAGGGGCTGTTATCCCAGATATACTCCTCCATGTCTGCTTCAGTCTTCTCGTTTTCCCACATTTCAGTTTTCTGAAAGAAAATAGACATCACCTTAAAAATGTTAGTACTGAATACTGAAGTAACAACCATCAGGAAAAATCTAAACTCTCACCCCTCTCCCACAAAAAATTGTTTAAGACTTTTGTCTTGGACGAAGTTCACTCCAGTGTAGAGTCTATGCAAAAAACACTCAACAGAGCTTAAGTGAAATTTAAGAGGTGAACGGGCTTTGTGTTTGACCTCTGCACAGGGTGAATTTAACTCTGCGATTAAAGTACAAATGCTACTGTAAATATAAGCCTGGAAATCCATTTCAAATCTGTATCATTTGGCATGATTACAGTAATCTGGAGAGAAAAAGAGCTGGCAGAAGCAAAAATTAGTTTTCCAGTTATGTAAAGTTACTGATTACAGTTCAAACTTCGAGAGAAAAAAAAGCCCAAATCCTTCAAAATGTTATTTTAAAATAATGGTCGAAATTCCACTGTCAACATTGGAGTAGCTCTGTATTTACACCATTATTGCCAACATTGGAATCTGACCCAAAGTTTGTGAAATGAAAGGAAGTTTTCCCTTCATTAGTTTGGAAGTTGGTACACCAGCCATTAGACTATCTGGATCAATAGGACTTCCTTTTGGTAGTCTCAGTTTGTGTAGTCAGACTAAGTCAAGTCACCAGATTTTTATCATCATTCCACACCAAATTGGACTCTACCTCAACACCTTTAGGACATATAGTCATGCAATGGATCACAATTCAATTCTCTTATGTATTTAGACTAAAGAACTTGGTTAATCATCAGAAAATGACACAGCGCCCATCCATATAATGGCCAAGTGGTTTCAGATTGTGTTTTGAAAGAAGTAGTGGTGACATGCAGCTTGTCTCTCTAAACTCCTGATACACTATATTTCATCTTTTTCTTTTATGATCAAATTCCTTGAGTTGAATGATCATCATACTGGTGAAACAGGAAATCATATTTCACTGACTATAGAGTCACACAGACAGGATGCTTAGGTCCTTCCACCACTGGGGTGAAAGATTAGGAGTGGATAAACGAATCCAAAGTGTAAAGGGAGGAGGGGCCTGAAGACTGACATCATCAGGGCAAAGAGGTGAAGAATTTCCAATGCTGTTGAATTGGTATTGCCCTTTAGAGCTACAGCCATGAAAGTTACCTTCAGTACTTTTCTGATTTGTCTCACCTTCTATGCACTCAGAGCAGCAGATGAGCTGGAAGATTGACACACCCTCCCCACCCCCCCAACCAAAGCCCAGAAGGGAGACTGTGGCAGGCATTTCCATGGCTGTAGCTTCTCTCTGCGGAGAGAGATCCTGTCACTTGTCCTGAGAGGGGAGTGGGAACAGTAGTCAAAACTTGTGTAAGCAGAAGGCACAGGGTGAGTGTGCTGAAAGAATCCATATGCTTCTACAATGGGGGCATTTTTTGCTCTTTCATTCCGTGTTGTCCACAAAGAGACAAAAAGAATCAGCCTGCGGTAGAGCCAGAAGACAAACCAAGGACCCGCTAGGTGGGGGAAAAACATTCAAGTTTAGTGACTGGAGAACCTGCTTCCTTATGAAGGAAGCCAATAGGTCCAAAACAGTGGTTCTCAATGCAGGCCACTTGTGGCCCAATCAGCACACACACACACACACACACACACACACACACACACACACACACAC